GAGGGGCGGATTTCTACTTGTTAATTACCTGTTTTACTTGTTTTAAAAAGAAATATCATTTGATTTCTTCACTGATTTACTGTTTTAAATGATTTTACTGCTTGATATGGAATTGCTTTGTGCCTTTACGTGTTTTCATACTTTCAGCCATTATTTGTAATTATTACTCACTGAGTCGGAGTACTCACATTACTCCCTGCACCATGTGTGCAGATTCAGGTATAGCAGAGTCCGCACCTGAGCGCTGATTCCTTCCAGGCTAGGCAGTGATTTGGAGTTACGAGGTAGTTATTGACGTCCGCAGCCCCTTGTCTCTCTTATCCTCTATCATTTATGTTTTCTTCAGACTGTTGTATCGGATTCTGTACTTTGTAGACCTATAGCAGATTCTGTAGTAGCTTATGACTTGTGACACCCCGGTTTGGGATGTGTCGAGATGGTTCCTGCTGTTATTATCGTTAAATTCCGCAATTTATGAGTATTATATTATATGTTATTACTATTATAATGATTAACTATTTAAAAGAGGTATTCTGTTTTGGTCTAGCTGGCCTTGTCTTCACGAGAGGCGCCATCACGACCGGGTTCGGGGATTGGGTCATGACAGTAATTCTAGAGGTTTAATTAACTAAAGCGAGTCGCCACCTAATTGGTTTAATGGTGAATTAGGACACAAAATTTAGCTAAGTAATGCTTAAAGCTAACTCTATTTTATGGTTTACTTAACCTTAGAAATTATAGACAAGGGTTCTAATTATCCTAAAGAGAAGGTGTCAAGCATTCTTTAAGATCTGTTAATAACGATTACCGGCAAAACTTAGGTTAATTAAGACTAAGGGTTGTAAAAATGTGGTCATTTATAAGTATAGATAAAAGAAAGTTAACACTAAAATGTATGCTATTAATTGCCGTAGGCAGCTTAAAGTAGATAGTTACCTAAACTTAGTATAAATTATCAAATAGAAAGCATTATTTTGACTTTAAAAATCTGACCTCTCGTTAAAGATTCAAGAGAACAACTTTAACTTTAGAAATAAAAAAAATAGATCATTGTCCAAAGTTCTTTAATCCAGTGAAACCCAAATTCAAGGAAGATGTATGGATCTATCCACTCGCCTAGTACTTGAAAGAAATATGTTGTTTGAAGGAAAACAAAATTTGAACTTGTTCTTTTATCATTGTAAAAGAAAAAAAAGATTGGCAGATAATTATAAAGATAAGAATTTAGCTAATTTCCTTAAACTTTTTTAACACACGATAAATAAAAACGAGGTTCCTTCACAATTTAAAGCTCCAAACACCTTCCAAAATGATCTTAAATCAGTAGTCAGGTCTATTAGCTTGGACTACTAAATGCAAAGCTATTATTGGTGTTAAAGTTTGCACATCGAGATGCCAAATTCTATGTGATCAAACAAACTAATTTACTTCAAACGAGTTCAAGCAATGAAGCAAGCAAATAGATCGAATAAAACAATTAGCTAATAATAAACACAGGAAAGTAACATTAGACAGCCAATGTTTGGTCCTCTCTTCTTCTTCTCTCTTTTTCGAGAGCCTAAATATACTTTAGGAATAGAAAAGAAAATGAAAGGGTGTGCGTGCTTCGTGTCTAGGCAGCAGCGTCGAGTCCCCATACTGGAACTCCTTGCGACTCCGATGTTTACATGTAAAACAAAGAAAGAAAGGAAAGGATTAGAAAGAGGATCTGAATATATTAAACACGTAAGGAAGATAAAAGAAGAAAAACTAAAGTTACAGAAAGAGTACATAAATCACAAACTTATGCAAAAAAACCAGTACTTATGTATATCAAGCTATTAAGGCACATAAACTTTTACCAATTTGAAAGGCTTCTCAAGTGTGTTCTTATATTAAGGTTAAACAATTACATTCTGTATTCAAGTAATCTCCTAAAGTAAGAGATTCAGCCTAACAAACAAAGTGGGATTTACACTTCCTTAAGGCCATTAGCAAAAGTTAAACTTGATTCTTAAAGGTACATAAGAAATAACAACAACAAAAACCATACTTTGTTCGACAAACACATGCTAACAAGTTTCACTTTTACCCTTAATAAGTAAGATATCACATATACATGCTATCATGATTACTGACTTACTATGCAACAATTATATGATCCTTAAAGTGCAGGCAAAATTGATATCAATTCCTGGAAAGGGTGTTTAACACATAGCCCTGCACTCATACTTAACTTTAACTAGTTATTAGGGATGTATGAACCATATTATAATGAAGAAACACTAATCTTTCTTAAGTTATACTAGTAGGTTCCTATTTTCTTTATGAACTTGATTTCATTACAGGAAGGAACACAAATAGATCTTTTAAAGAATAATGCAGGTTCTTTGTCATCAACAGATTGTATCAAACTGATGTATCGCTATGCTAACGGATAATGACCAAGTAACGAAATCATGATTCCTAGTAAACTTTCAATTGCAGATTCAACCAAATTCTAAGCAGAGATAATTTCATAACTTTATTACCATACTTTCTATGGAAACATATCCATAAGTCATGACTTCTGGTTAACAACTTACATTTTAGAAAAAATAAAATTTCTATAGCATACAATGCTTCACATAATCTGATAACTTAATCCAGAATAATATTATAAAGAAATCTTAAACCGCGTTCACTAGTTCACAAACAATATGAAACATTGAATGAAAGCATGATAAATCCTTATTTCATAATTTCTAATCAAAGATCAGAAAAGAGAACTAACACTTATTTTTACAAAAGAACTCAAATATTACTTAGAGTAGATAAAAAGATAAAGGGAGATCACTGACCTTTTTGTGGGCAGTGAACGGGGCATCGTTAAGAAGGTTTATGATTTTCGATCTCTACTACGCAACTCCAAACGAGCGTCAAACTTCGAAACAAATACGATGACACCTCTTTTATGGTTAAGTAAAACCAATAGAGGCTAAAAGAAAGAGCTTTTAGAGTGTGGTTTTAAGGAGAGTAACTGGTACAAGGTTCTAAAGCGGCAAGCTAAAAGGTGCTGAAAATCTCTACCAAATCTGGTATTTATAGGTGTAAAATTAGGGTTCCTTGTTCCTTTTAGCGGGAATTTGAAATTCGAATTTCAAACTAAGTCAAATTCATCCGTTTGAGTTTTATCGTTGAAGCTTTTTGGATGGATTCGATCTTCACGTGATTCTTCAGTGATATGCTTCAGGTTACACCCGAAATGGTGAGATATGCTCTGTCACGTAGGGATTTGAAGGTCAAAGCTTGGCTAAAAATGGAAGAAAATGCCAAGAGAAAGTTCTGCCATGGCAGATAATGAAAGGGACGATAGAGGGGAAAGGGGAGCGTCTGATGAGAATAGAGAGAGGGAATTAGGGTTAGAAAATATCATGATTGAAAGGATGTGGACTGTTGGATCAAAAATAATGGATGGATAAGATTAGGCTTAGGATAAAACAAGATAATAATAATAAAAAAAATACATAGAATTCTCTAGAAGATTAATTTTGGCCATTCAAAAGAATGGATCAGATTGGGCCATGTGGCGGATGTGGGGTCAGAGTGTGAAGGGATGAGGAAGGTGTGTGCTGAGCGTGTTTTGGTTATGGGTTTTGGACCGTTGGCCCCTATGTGGCGCTGACGTGGGGCTTATGTGGAGATGACATGGAAAAGAGGTAGAGTATGTGGGCTGGTGGGTATGGGCCTTCGATTTGGGCTATGGAAAGGACTGAATCTCTTTCTTCTTTGTTTTTTTTATTTGGGCTTCTTAAATCTTATAAAAAAGTTATTAATATGAAATAAGTAATTAAATTTTGATATGCCTAGTAATAAAATATTTATATTAAATAATTCGCTAGTGTTTAAATAATTACGAATTTATGTTGTAAATATCTATTTAGTAGATAACCATTAATTTAAAATGGGCACTCAACCAATATGTAATTTACTTGAATAAATATATTACAAATAGGAGTAGGATTAAGGCAACGCAGCGAAAAATATTTGTAAAGGAAAATATTATTGGTTGATTAACATTGAATGGAATAGTTTGAGATATAAAATCGTAGTAGTAGTAGTAATAGCATCAATGACAATAGTATTATCTAATGATGATAACAATAATAAAATAATAATAAATAACGATTCTAATTAGAAAAAATAGTAAAATAATTATTTACACATTATTAATAATATTAGAAGCTCAAGTAAATAATTTGGAAGAAAAGAGGGACAAAATTGGATGTCAACAGATATAAACCTCCATTGTTTTACCGAGTTGTTCCTTGAATATTTTGGTGACCAATATTTGATATGTGGCCCCTGCGTTCTTAAGCCCGAACGGCATCACCTTATAGAAGTACGTACCATGATGGGTGATGAAAGTGGTCTTTTCTTGATCTTCTTTAGCCATTAGAATTTTGTTTTAACCGGAGTACGCGTCCAAGAAGCTTAACAGTTCGTGCCCCGCTATTGCATCGATAAGTTGGTCGATGTGGGGTAGCGGGAAAGAGTCCTTCGGGCATGCTTTGTTCAAATCGGTGAAGTCGACACACATTCGCCACTTCCTGTTCTTCTTTTTGACCATGACCACATTGGCGACCCATTTGGGGTATTTCGATTCTCTGATGGAACCGTTGGCAAGTAATTTATCAACTTCGTTGTTGACCGCCTCATTGATTGCGGCATTGAACTTTCTCCTCATTTGTCGTACCGGTGGATAAAGTGGATCGACATTTAACTTGTGTATGGAGATCCCCCTTGGGATCCTGGCATATCTGAGTGGGAAAAAGCAACAAATCGGCGTTGTTAGTTAAAAACTCACGATATTCACCTGGCTCCGAGAGGTTGTGTCTAACATAAGCCTTTTTGGTGCAGTCGGTGTTATCTAACTGGACGGGATCAAGATCTTCTACGGTTGCTTTGCAAGCTTCTACAATGTCCAGATCTTTGATGGCCTCTACTTGTATGTCGGGTTTGGTGCCCGACATGGCTGATTGCTATGCTTCCGCGCTTGCCCCTTTTAGCTGTTTGGTATGTGTGCAATCTTGGGTGATCCGGTAGCATTCTTCGGCGGTACATGGCTCACCTCGGATGCTGAATATCCCCCATGGGTTGGGAAATTTGATCACTTGATAGAAGCTTGAGGGGATGGCTCGCATGGCATGTATCCATGGTCGCCCTATGATGGCGTTGTAGGCCGTTTCCTGGTTTATGACGTGGAATGTTGTTTCCAAGGTGACCCCTCCTACTAGGTCAGGTAGTACTATTTCTCCGGATGTCCGCTCTACTGCATTATTAAAACCCGTTAGTGTTATAAAACGCGGTATTATTTTATCCTCGAGCCTCATTTGCACGAGAACTCGTGGGTGAACAATACACGCGCCACTTCCGTCATCTACCATGATTCTTTTTACATCAGTGTCAGTGATGCGTAAAGTTATAACCAAAGCATCATAGTGAGGGAAAGAAAAACCGTCGATATCTGACTTATCGAAGATGATACTATCTTCGAGGTCATCATACTGATCGTGGGCGACTGTCCGTTTGAGTTTGTCCGTGGTGGTGAACTTCACATGGTTGATTGCCGTATCATCGCCACCGCCAGTGATCATTTGTATGGTACACGCTGGTAATGGTGGCTCTGGTGTCTTTGGAGGTCCTTGAGATGAGTCGCGCCCTCGAGTGAAGTTGGCCCTTCCTTTATCGCTTAGCAGTTCTTTTAGGTACCCCTGGTTCAACATCCTAACTACTTCTTGCCGCAGACCTATGCAATCTTCGGTCTTGTGTCCCCTTTCTTGGTGGAATTCACAGAGGACGTTCGACCTCCTGGTGCTTGGATCCGATTTCATCTTTTGCGGCCCCTGTACCTTTGTGCCGAGTTTCTCCAGTGCGTACACTATTTTTGAAGGGGAAACACAAAATTATGAGCAGATAGTAGTGAAGGCATACCTCTTTGGTTTCGGAGGGGTGCCGTATGTCATGGCACGACGTCCGCGTGTCGCGGAGGGGGCGGGTTGGATGTGCGGATATAGGGCTGATGCCTTTCTCGATTGAAACGTGGTGGTTGATCTCTTCGCCCATCGTTACATCGATCTCTCCTTGTCTTGTTCTGGACTGATGTTAATCGCTGAAGTAGCCCATTCATGTCATCCTCGTCTGCCCTTACCTCGGCATAATAGGCGTTGTGGATTTCTTCCCATGTGGTAGAGGGGTACTTTATGAGTCTACTGAGCAGTTTTTTGGTCTCCTTTGATCTGTTCCTGTTTAACCCATTTTGAAAGGCTGCTACTGCCATCCCTTCTGACACATTCGGTAAACTCATCCTTACTCTGTTGAATTGGGCCAGGAAATCCCGAAGTCTCTCGCCCGTCGTTTGCCGAACGACGAAGCTATCATTGACCCTAGCCTCGGCCTTCTTTGCTCCTACATGGGCGGTGGCGAATTTATCCACCATCTCTTCGAACGTCGATATCGATCGTGCTGGTAGCTGGGAGTACCATGTCAATGCTCCCCCTGTCAAAGTCTCACCGAACTTTTTTAACAGCATAGACGATACCTATTTTATTGATAGATCATTGCCCTTTACTGCAGTAACATAATGGATTAGGTGATCCTCCGGGTCCGTGGTCCCGTCATATATTTTCAAGCATGGCGACATCTTGAAGGTCTTTGGAATATGATGAGGAGCAGCCCCTTTGTTGTATGGCTGTTCGACGAATCGGCCCACATCGCGTTTTGGTAATAGCTTCGGAGCGCCCGGTGTATTGTTAACCCCCTCTTGATGTTCCTTCATTTGGATGCGAAGTGTTTTGTTCTCATTTTTCATCTCTTTCATTTTCTTTAAGATGTCCATGAGTGCACCGTCACCCGCATTAGTGACAGTGCGGGTGTTACTTGTTCGTGTAGCACTTGGCTCATCGACGACATCCGTGATGTCTATAGGTGGCACGTCTTCGACGTCTCCTTGAGTGGGTTTCTCGAGCATGTTTTTCAAAGCACTCATTAACCATTCTTCTAGTAGCCTTTTGACTGCTGGCGGAGCTTCCTCCGCCGTGGATGTTGAGGTTCCCCTTTCGCATAAGATCGTTAGATCCCCGTGCGGAAGAGGTGAGATCTCTCCTTCCGGTGTAGCGCTTGGTGTTGTATTTTCATTGTCTTCTCTGCCGGTTTCGTTGAGGGAGTTCAGGAGATTATTCGAGACATCTGCTACCGCTTTTAGCCTCGCTTCCTTTCCCACCATTGTTGGTGTTTATGAGGTTTGAATAAAAGTAATTATCACTTTCGGGAATCTAGATGAGAACTATGATTTCAGCTATAGAAATCCCCATAGACGGTGCCAAATTGTTTGACTCAAAAGATGTTAAGACCTTTTTGAACAAATCAATCGAAGATGAAGGGGTAAATCATAGCTGAAGATAATAATCTCTAGAATAATAATAGATAAAAGGAAGAGAATTGGAGAGTTTCTTTTCATTAAAGATTGGTAAGTTTTTTTCAGCCTCCCTTTTACGAGGTTTTTTTTTGTTCCCCTTATATACTAGAGAGGAAACCTTCCCAATTGTAAGAAACAAAAAATACAATGAATAATCTTAATGTCCCCTAATGGGTTTACACTTCTACAAGGGTCGTACGGTTTCTCTTTTCGCCTTGGGGTCGTCTTCCTTGGGACACCGGTTCGGAGTTACCCGGTCGTTTGTCGTACTCATTATAGGTCGTGGTCGGTCAAATTTGAACCCATACACTAGTCATTCAAAAATAGTCAGCGTTTGCAAAGTCATTAAAAATAACCACTATTTTGCTGCAACACAGAAAGTTCCAGCATAATATACTGGAGATCGGTGCACCTGTGTATGAATTTCCAGCATATTATGTTGGAATTCCAACACGCGAAAAGTTCCAGTATAATATACTGGAGATTGGAGCACCGATGCTCCAATCTCCGGTATATTATGCTGGACCAGTATATTATACTGAAATATTTTTCGGATTTTGAACAGTATTTTTGTTTAAATTTATCTTTACATAAAAAGTGGCTAAATTTCGATTACCTTTAAAACTGTGACTATTTTTGAATGACCACTTGTAAATTTGGTTATTTTTAAATTTCTTCCTATTAAAGGTGGCTGGTGTCATGGATTTGGCCATATAGTTAGAAGCATGAAATTTAAGTATAAATGTATAATGGATTTGTGTCTATTTTTAAGATATATGGAATGTCTCTGGCTATTTCACAACTATATCTATATATGCATATGAATCAAATATGCCCATTGTTTTGGAGAAGAATATAGGGTCCAATACTCGGGTTTTGTGACAAACAAACCTTCAGGGCATGTTTGGAAAGCTATCTGGTAGTTGGAATTGGTGTAATAACATAGTAACTATATAATTTATTTGTTTTTCATAACGTAATTATAGTGTAATAAAAATATATTATTTGATTGTACAAATATAATTATACAGTTAAATTAAATTTTAAATGATGTAGTTATCAAAACTTAAAATTTTGATATAATAAATATATGCCTATAAATGATTTTTAATAAGTATAATTGAAATTAGATTTGGTATTTAAGAAGCATATTTTTTCTTGAATATACATTAATTAGTAATCATATATTTATAACTGATATTGCAAAAATAATTGGTATATATTTTTAAAATTAATAATATTAATTTAATTAATTATAAAAACTAAAACCATATGTTTTGTAAGAACGTCATGGAATGCATGTTTGATATATTAAATTAATATTTAGTGACAAGAGGGATTGCTCTGATGGTAAGCAACTTCCTCCAACCAAGAGGTTGTGAGTTCGAGTTACCCCAAGAGCAAGGTGGGGAGTTCTTGGAGGGAAGGATGCCGATGGTCTATTTGGAAACAACCTCTCTATCCCAAGGTAGGGGTAAGGTCTGCGTACACACTACCCTCCCCAGACCCTACTAATGGGATTATACTGGGTTGTTGTTGTTGTTGTAAATATAGTGTCATAAATTATTCAAATGTTTGACAAAACTAATCTATCAACTCTAACAAAAATATGAACAACATGCAATGCAATGTGAAATAACAAGTCAATACTACTAAAACAAGTAAATTGGAACCATAAATATAACACAATTTCAAAATCCAAAAAAAAAGGTTTAACATATTCAAATTCCAATATAATAAAATAAGTTCCAATATATATAACTTAAGATTAGGAAACATAATAAGTTTATAACTTCATTCAACAACGAAATTCTACTTTAATGACAACAGTCATTATATGCCAAGTTTGTAAATGACTCATTATTTCTAATATTAGGTGGTGTAGTTTAAAAAATTAGAATAATAATGCAGTTACGCTAAATGAAGAAAATAAAACAAATAAGAAATAAAATGTACGAGCAATTACATGAAATCGCAAGAAGTAAAAGTAGAGAAATAAATGATAAATAATATGCAAAAAAAAATATATTTTAAAATTAAAAAGTAAAAATAAAAAATTAAAATAAAAAGAAATTAAAAGTTATAAAGAAAATAATTTAAATAAAAACAAATATGGAAGAAATTTAAAATTGACCTTGTAAATTGTAATTACAAGTGTAATTACCATCAATTTTCACCTCACCTTGAGAATTGGAGAGTGAAATTATACCTCTCCAATTACACCCAACTCCATGATGACCAAGTAATTACTTGGCTAGGCAAATATGTCAAACTGTGTAATTACACCCTAATGCGCACAATCAGATATAGACATTATATATAGAGTTAAGGAAGATCGACTAGTTGGCAACTAGATATCCATTATCTTAAATCTAAGAAACTAAAATAAATAACATAAGAAAAGAGAGATGTATGATAGATCGATAATTGAAAAAATAGACTTCAAAGTCGTTAAAGAAATAGTATAAAATTAACAATGCTTGAACTTAAATTTCTGGATTCCTGCTTAATTTAATTGGATTACTGCTTCCACCCATATATAGAAATCTAGTCTAGAATGGAAAGTGTCTTATCACATAACAAGAAGGAAAGAGAAAGAGACCAGGCTACGGTGTGGAAGAATTTTGAAACAAGGAGGGCCAAGCCAAGTTATTATTATTATTATTATTATTATTATTATTATTATTATTATTATTATTATTATTATTATTATTATTATTATTATTATTATTATTATTTTAACACATTTTATTAGAGACGAGAGTATTATGAATTGACAAAAAAAAAAAACTAATAATTGATCCCTATTATTATCATAAAGTTAAATATCATCAAAGAGCGTGATCAGATGATTTGGATTTCTTCACCCTTGAATCAAAAGTATCATGCCCGAGAAATGACAAATTTTTTGATAGAAAATACTTGACCCATTGTGGACCTACCAATACTCTGTGTGAATCCGATTTAGTCGGGCCAATCGAGTCGAATACTAAATAAATAGGAAGTGTAGCAATGTAGACCTTCTGCACTCAACGAGGAAAGTTTATGACAATTCAGCCATAAAATAAAGTAGAAAGTGAAAAAAAAAAGATACATTTATTTACACTAAATGAATCTAAGGTTAGTGCATATCAACTTAATTTCCAAAATAGCATACTCTTATGTTCTTCTGATGTAAAATACTAGTAGTAGCAAGTTTATTAAGCCACAGCCAAGTAGCAGTATAAACAACACATAAATTGTAAGCACCGCAACAATCTTTTAATTACACTTTTGACTATTGCCTTCAATATCCCCTCGAAGAAACACACTATTTTTCTGTTGAGTTGGCTCCCAGAACCAACAGGAACAAATTATTAGTTTCTCCAACTAGAGGTCTAACGATATTTGGATTGTTTTTCCAATCAGACTATTATGCTTTGACCCTTGAGGTCTTTTGTTCGATTATCCTGAAAAACAGCATTTTATTGATTCTTGAAAATTTTAATTTGCTTAAAGATTTTGCTTTCGTGAACAATTAAGGTTTAGATATTGATCTATATAATTAATTAATTAATTGTAATATGGTATGCTAATTATCATTTCATTAATGTATTGTTGATACTGAAAAGAAAGGAGTCAAGATTCACTTTAAGGGAACTGAAGTAAAAAACAAGAAAGAACAATTTCTATGAAAAGATAAAAAGCCTTGTATTTATTCTATCAAAGCAATGAGATTCTTAACATTACTAAACGTACAATGATGTAGTTAATGTAAGAATTAGTCTAAGTCACAAAAAAAAAAAATCAATCTAATTCAGTAGCACCTTAATTAATTAGAGCTTCGCCCATTTCTGGCCTTAATCTAAAGCAGCTCCAAGTGCAAATATTTCATAATCTTCAGCACTGAAAATATTACAACCATTGCACCCACAGTAACCTTTACAAGCACATGACTCATCCCATGATCTATTATTTTTCTTGACTTTTGTTGTCTCTTTTATATTAACCTTCATTGCTATTTTTACTGCTGGAGGTTTCACATCTTCATTATGCACACCCTTATTATTATTCTTAGAATTAGTAGCAATGAATATTGCCCATTCCTCAATCTCCATTTCTGTTGACTCAAATACTCTTTTCCATGGAATTTCAGCTCTCCCCAACACTTGCGATCCGCCAATATTTTTCCCAAAAACTGGGAGATATTTTCTTGACCGGAGCTCGAAAATGACTGTTCCTTGCTTGAGCATGTTAATGGATTCTTGAGTTCCCATGCAATCCAATGAGAAAGATTCATCCCAAAACAAGTTACTATCACATTTTGATGATGAGATTATTTCTTGGCTGTTTAGTTGAACTCTTTGGTTGTTTCCTGCTGGAAGATAGCATCTAACAAACAAGCTGTTTTTTCCTAAAGAACTTTGTTCTATGTTTCTTGCCCTTATGATTTGTATTTCACAACTAATTATAGTTGAACAATTTTGAGTAGTCTCCATTGAAAAAAATACTAGTGGTTTTTCTTTGATAGGGTTGTCTTGTTTTCTTGAGAGATGGTTTGTTTTGGTGATGGGACGCAATTAGTTAGTGGGGGTATTTATAGTTGGAAAATACTTCACTTTGGGCAGTGGAAGGGAATTAAAGTGGTGTAACTTTATTTATGGAGGAGCAACTAGCTAGCTAGAATATAATTATCCTTATACTATAAAATAAAATAACAAAAATTAAACCACACACGCAATATAATGAGAATTAGTACTAATCTAGTGAAGGATTTTATATGGAGCTGAAGTGAAAGATATTGTGTTTATGAAGAATTTCGAGACAAA